CGTCTACAAACAAAGTGTATAAATATAAGCCAAATGTATCGAAATTCCATAACACATCAAGTGATTGCAGCACGTACTCGAAAAATGCATTTTCGCTTGGGTTAATATCGTATATGTATCAGAGCGCAGATAGCAACCACAAAAATTACAACTACTGCACGCCGGCGGCCCGGCTGCATGCACAAACCACCTAAAATCAAAAATGAATTCCGCAACTGTACAAACAGCTGGGTATCACACCAGCGACCGAAGGTATCACACCGAAGATACCACACCGAATCGACCGAAGGCGCCAAAAGGAAGCGGTATGTCTCTTCAAGATTTGTAACAGGAGCAGTTTCGACCTGCCGTCAGGTATGTGCAACCTGCTGATATTTAGAGAGACGAGTGCGAGATAAGAAATTCGCCGGACAGAGCGGATGCCACCGCGCGGCTTTTGCATTAGAAAGACAACCCATAAGCTAGAGCGTTATTTGATTAAACAGCGGAAAAAGCATTTACTAAATTTACTGATCTGATGGTGCTGTTAAAAAACTACGGGGAAAAAAGTATTCAGCTGTTGGTTCTATTGATCTATATTTGGCTGTTACAGATACATTCAAATAACCTTCTCTAGCTATTCAATACCTCGACTCTTTTGTTATCTCTTATTGTTTGTACATTCGGTTTTGCTAACTGACCAGACTAGCCAGTGCCTCAAGGTTTCTCTGCTCTTCGATAAACTACAAATTGTAAACAATTTGATGCGGTGTTCTGCCTGGATATTAAAGGAAAGAAGACAATGGCAGTGTGGTTATTTGTATACTGCGATTTGATTCACGAAGGTGCATCAAAATGCAGCTTGGTAGCGCCTGCCTACTCAGTACTCACAAGTAGACTCGCACAGTAGTTGTCACACGATGCAATGGGCTGGACCGGACCACTACGCACCATCGAAACAAATGACTGCCCAATGTGGCATAACACTGAGTCTGCTGAATCATAGTCAAAACAAAAGGGCACAAACCAAAGGTATCATGTGTAAAATGCAGGGATACAACCATCCATGATGCTAAATGCATGCCGCTGGCACTCCATGAAGGTCAACCATCTGTATCGAATCAGAGTAAAGCCCATCAGAAGAATTCTGTGGGCAAAGCGTCTGATTACGTAGGACAAGCTGTGGACGCCGGATGTCGTGCCAACTGGCGCTGTGCTGGTGGCAATTAACCCTGGCTTCATCCCCAAAGCCTTCACCACACCACAAAAAAACCCAACATGTATGTTGGTTACCGGCTACTTTCCCAGTGCCGGTTGCAGCTTCAACAAGGCAGACCGGCACTTGTTGAATCCCAACCAGCAACGTGCCTAAAAGCAGCATATTATTGACAAAAAGCTTTGGGCAAGCACCATTTCTATTGCTATAGTCCGACCATTAGCAATGCCGTCTGCTTGGATGAATCACAATGCAGCATCTATCCTTGGCACGATGGACGGAGTGGATAGTTTAAATGAAGTTTTGCTGTTGTGATTAATGTACTCTGTTTATTTTTCTTCCACCTGATTTGTGCATTGATTATTAATAAAGACTTTTCATCACAACTGGCGGGCCATTATAACGGGCGGTTCTTCGCCAGTTCTTTGGATTGCGCGGCTGGCTAGAATTGCATTTATTATCGTAACAAGAACACGGACACCGCTAGCAAATTTTCAGCAGACGCCGAGATACCGGCTTGCATGGGTTAATAAAGTTGCGGTGCAGCTTTGGGTCGCTCCGACAATTTCCGGTCCTTGTTGCAGCCGTTTCAGCCAGCCCGTAGTAATTCATTTGACGCCACATTCGTAAAGGATTCGTGATTTGGAGGTGCATGGAGAAACGTGCATCGTCATTCGAAGACTGCTCAGATTTAGCTGGTGTTGTCTCGATACGCCGTTTCCACAAGCGAAGACGCTACACTGGCGCCGTCAACAGGATTAACAGTCAGTCCGAAAAGTAGACAAGTAACCATTTAGTACGGCTGTTTGCATCCCGGTGAGCACTGAGCAATTCATTCTCAACGGATTATGCTGGGCATGGTGAAGTCAACATTCAGTGCCGAGGTGATTGTCTTTCGAAATGAACCAACTGCGCAAAGGAACAGTTTTCCGTTTTCCAGACTGAACTTCCGAAAGAACAACTGCCGTTATGGAACAGGGCGCATGTACATTCCCAGAATGACCCAAGATCGGGCCAGTAAATGTACCAGTCAAGTATGTCGAAATCTGCAAGTGTAAGGCCAAGCAGTTCTGCAGCTCCAGCTGCTTCACTGGAACGAAAAGACAGAACGAAGTTGTCACCGCTGGTTGCACGCCAATTATGTACTGAGTTTTCTGTTAGGAGCGGCACGTGAGCGGGTGCCAATCAACTAATCCAGCACTGCTCCGCGAAACATTTTCCAAATAGCAAAACTGTTCTTCTGATACGATTTGACGACATCCGTTGACAGGCAATTTGTACAAGAAACAAACGCCGACGTGACCAAGGTTAGCGCGTGTGTATAAATCAGTTTTCAGCGCAGTGCGCATCAAAGCCGTCTTCCCGGTCGATCTTTCATGCCGTTTACTAAACATGCTGTTCCGACAGCAGCAGTTTTTTAACAGTACTTTACTGTTCCTAACCAGAACATACAGCCCATCGACAATCCATCGGTCACAAGTGGTTTGTGCTTGAACGTCGATCAGTTGACTCATAATGCGGATACCGCCGATAAAAAGCTCTTATCCGAAAGCTGTTATAACAACCTATTCTTTTTTTCGGCAAAGACGACAACAACAAAGTAGCCGGGCGCGGTGCAGTCCGGTAAGCATCCGATCCGCAGTTTATCCGCGGCAGTATATTGGTCTGGATGTCAGTCAGGAACAAAACAGTGGAATGGCTTTCGAATCTTCAAGTCACACGACTGCGATTCCAGTCAGTACTGCTGCCGCAATACTTCCCAGGAATCGAGTTGGACACAATGCACGCATCAAATGGAATTAACTTGAAAAGTCACGCATATGAGCAAGGCCAAGCTAAACAGTTAAATCAGTTCAGAATTCTTTTTCCGCTCATCAAACTACGACAACAAAAAGCGTATTCGTTGATCGGATGTTCGAAGAACTATCGCAACAGTTGGCGCGTCAGGTCAGGTCACCGATGGTTTATGTGTAAACAAGGATCGACTGTCCAGTTAGTTTGGATGTTGGCTTTTCTCCCAGCCGTCCAAGTACGGTAGCAGTCCAATATGCTGTTTCGACCGATACAGCACACCTTGTCGTCCAGAGAATAATCCCATTGGAATACTGTGGTACCAGCGGCATCTGTGTAAGCAGTAAGCAGAGACGATAGTGCGATGCTAAACGCTTTGCCAAATCAACCGGATGTGCAGATAGACAGTTCTGTTATTTCGATTTTGAAAAGTTGAGTCGATACCCGTTCCTCTGCAGCGGGTGCCGAAAACCAACACGAGCATTATGGAGAGAACTTTCAAAGGTCACGAACCAATATTTAATGTGCCTCGAAATCCTTCGCCGTTCTTACAAATGCGAACAAGAACGAAAACTGTTCTTCAGCAGCAAGAAGGCAGTGGATACCGTTACCGACAGCGGATGCAGTTCCATGAAGAAGCCTTCAATTAACCACGGCATCTAGTATCTACCTAAGGACAAAAAGCCGCTATGATAGTTTCTCGCCAATGGGTTCGTCAAATCCGCCGGATGCAGAAACGACCAGTTCTGCTGTTTAGATTTAAAGTATCAAGTCCATATAATTCGCACCGCAGTGTGTCGGAAACGGATCCGTCAATTACTTGCGGAACCTGTGTATTCGATTACCAGCTGATGGTGCAACGTGGTACAAATCGTCTGCCCGGCCGTTCAACTGTGCCCAGAACGAAAAGTCTAGTTTCGCTTGCAATAAGGTTTCAGTCGGAAGCAAAATCGGCTTTGTCAACGGTAGCACTTTTTTACTTGCTTGAAATTTATCGATTACAGGTGCTTCCGGTGCCTGCCGCAATGCAGTACTTCTGTGCACGGCAATAAATACTTCAGTTCCATTCCATGCAAACTGCATTTGTTTATGTAGAACACTTGGCGAGTAGATCACATCGCTCACTGCGCACCAGACTGCGAGACGATAATCAACAACGGAAATTGTCTAAACGTCCAGGAAGTTTTCGTGTATAACATTAACAATTTCGCATCACTGTCTCCAGATTGCCTGCGTCGTAGCTGCTGTTACTTGAAAATCGCAGTGTAACCGGCAAGGAGAACATCCACAACTCTAACGACAAAGACACGTGCCAGATAGCCATCGAATTCTGCACGCCAAACAGTGATCCCACAGTTCACAATGGCATTTCGGTACGGCGAGGTTAACTAAGCGCACTGTATAGTGGTGAACGATCGGGCACGTCGCTGGACTGCGGCAGCTCCGAGTACTGCTGCCATCTCTACATTCAACATTAATTCCTCCGTCCACGATTGGCAAGGGTTTAGATGCGCGAGCTGAGCGTCGACCGTATCGAGCGACGCGCTGCACGTTCGACCGGATGTAGTGTACTAGTGAATTCACCAACTTCAACATGCATGTTTCCTGCTCCTGCTGTCGGCGTACTGGCCGTAGAGTCAACAGCGGAAAGGATGACGCGCGCACCCAACAAGAACAAAGACTGCGTGCTCAGTGTAAAGAGAACAACCTCGAGCAAGTGACCTTTCAGGAGACAAACCTTTGGTAAATGTGTAACCAACCTCAAATTTTTATCGACTTTTATGGAGGTTTTACGGACGTTAATCCAACACAACATGACGCAAAACTAACACATTGAATACGCTATAAGTTATATAGTATTACGCCGCATCCATTGTAATCGCTTTATTAGCACGAGTACTCGTAATCGACTGTTGCTTTAATCACTGAGATAACATTATCTGTAACAAAATTCAAAGAAGACGACAAACCCAGGTTATTTTTTTCTCAAACCGGTTTGTGTGCAACGTAACAAAATTTCAGCGAGCCAAGATAATTCAGTTTAAATCAAAACGTGGAGGTAGAAAAACAATGAATATCATTTCCGAAATAGAAGCTTATTTTATTCTTTCTGCCATGGAGTAGGTGGTATATACGTTGAGACTTTAAGGTGTTCGTCAACGGTGCAGCTACTAATGGTTTCGTTAACCAAGGAGTTCTAATCTTTTAGGCCAAACAAGTTCCTCCGAAAAACGGTAATCGTAGAAGGAATTCTGAGTCTCCGAACCACTGGAGTTATGCAGCAATCTGAGATGGGTAATTGTCGTTACGGGAATTACCGCATTTCAAGCCTGCAGCTGCAGACGAATGCTTGGTAAGTAACGATTGTTGGATAGGGGTATGTTCACATCCACGACTAGGTATCGGGCAAACATTTTCATGATCTGCGAAGAGAGAGATTGTAACATGCAAAATTTTGCACGAACAACATAGTGCTACATATGTGCAGTACATGGATCTACATGGTACATCTGGCACGGTTTCTGTTCGCACGTAACAAGGGTAGTTTTCTCGCAACTTCACGAGACAAAGCGCAACTCAGTGTAACTTAATGCAAGAAAGCGCAACTAATGCAATTTAGTTTTAAAAAGGCAACCCAATGCAATTCAGTGCAACTTGATGTAACTCAACATAACTCAACGCTACCAAATGCAGCTTAAAGCAACTCAGTGCAGCTTGTGCAGGGTTGGGCTTCCGGCAGTTGGCACATAAGTGTTTTTTGTCAGTTTTTAAGCCGGGCCAGGCTTCCTTGCACCCCTTGCACGTTGACCATTTGAGTGTCTGCATTCGCTGCTCAAGTGCGGAAGCCAGGAGTTGTGGGTTTAGTAAGTTTATATGGGTGTGGTTTCGAGCACGGGCGGCAGCTTGACGTTGAGCATGCCGTGTCCGAGCTTGGGCTGCGTCATCGCCATCGCGATTTTCTTTTTCTAGGTTACGTCTACGAGTTGCTGCCTCTCGGTCCCGGCGTTGCTTTGATCGCCGTTGCGCAGACGACATACTCGTTCTCCTTCTAGCTTGGCGTACATTATTGAGTTGCCGTGTGCGATCGTGAGCTGCGGCATCGCCTTGATGATGTTCCCTTTCTCGTCTGCGGGCAGCGGCCTCCCGGTCACGGCGCTTTTTGGATTGTCGTTGTGCGGACGTCATACTGCCTCTTCTTCTTGCTTGGCGAGCAGTTTGCTGTTTCTTTTGGGTCTCCCGACGGAAAGCTGCTTCACTCACTTGTTGTGGTAAGTCGGTTCCACCTAAATGTTCAAAATTGGTTTGCCTTTCGTAGTACAAAGACATGCACAGAAGTACGTACGGATTTGTTTCCGTGCACGGTTACCGCCTTCCCGTGGCGACTGATTGACATTTGAGGGCCATGGAATTGAATTTCTATTTGATTGTTTGCTTTTGATTTTCTCTGGACGATACATACCCCCAGAATCATACCGTCTCGTTCTTCTGGCTGATCTCCCAACTGACTCTTCCGCTTTTCGCTTTCGAACCATTTTTAAAAAAAAAGTTTAAGTTTTCGTTTTGCCGGTAAAACGTGACCTTTCTGCTGACTTTTGTATTACTGCGATATTCTTCGGGTTGTCTTTGTATATCCATAACAACAGCTACTGTATAGTGATACTTAAGTTTAGACTGTTTAGCTGTTTAAGTAAGTACTGTGTGCTATGTAATTATATACTGTAAAATTATACTGTTATTACGGTGTATACGTATTACGTGTAAAGTTTTTCTGGGAGGCGGCGAATACGCAATAATTTATCTTTGCGTGACCGACGTGACCGACGTGACGAAAGTTCCGTTTTCTTGAACATAGAGGACCTTCGCTTCGCTTCTGTCGATAATTACTGTATTATAAATTTAACATCCACTGCTGGATGATTTGGTATTAAATTTGTGTGATTTTCAGTCTAACCAGGTGAGCTCCTGAAAAGCAAATACTCACTCTGTTCACACATACATCAATTTTAACTTATGCGTTTTAATAGTTAACATAGTAAGCAACTCTGCCGTCCATGATCCTTCCACTTGAGGGTCACCATTAGACCATGCATCGTGGATCAAAATTAATACAATACACGACGCAAACATAATACATGCTATAGCTTCTGGTCCACCGCGATGCCAAGTGACCAAGCGAACGAATCTGTCGAGTAAATGGCCCTTTGGGCTAAATGGTTGAGGCAAGGGAAACTGTACAGTGGGCATCAATGGCACTAGCAAACTGAAAAAACCATCGAGAGGGTCCAGCTTAAAGCAAGAGAATCTCCAGTTTTCCTTTGCTCGTGATACTTCGAATAAGCTCTTTATTTTTTTAGAACGTGCAAATTTTTCCATCAACGGTTATTGTGTAAAGCACTTCGGCGGTGCGTGATGTTGCCAAACCAACGTAAGCATTCCATTGAAAGTTTGAGGGTGGGCCCATCCGACTCTGGTTACCGGAACTTGGCTCACGTCATCGGGGGCACAATCAGCCAAGATGCCAGGACTTTGTATTTCATCGATGACTGGGAAGAATGTGTGTTCACCCCTGTGAAAGGCCTAAAGGTCATGGACGTGCAACTCGACTGGCTGGTTATCGCCAACAACTCCAGGCTTTTGTTCAACGAATTTTTTCGATTTCCCAAACCCTTTCCCATGGTGTATTTATATGATTTCGTTACTATGTACGGAAATTATCTTCAAGCAAATAAGACAGATATTTATAAGGATTACGCTTGCATTTGCCAACATCTAGCCTTGAAGAACTGCTGTTTCAGTAGCAAGTTATCGATATGCTTCAGAGAAGTGTTGTGGCTAGACGATGAGCTACTGCATCGGGTTAGGGGCCCTGGACGATGGAATTTAAGATGTTGCCGTGATCCGTTTTTATTGCGATTCCACGATGGTTGCACAGTTTTTCGGAATCCGCGGCGCAAATATACGAGGCTTCCTTCCGGTCTGCACTAGAAGACCATTGTCCAGTGTTAACACAACGCGCAATGGATAACCTGTTCCACTGGCTGAATTCTTTGACAAGCGAGGCTTGTGAACCAAAAGGTTGCATTTGGCCGTTTATTACGCTCTCCTACGAACTGTACGCATCGAACAGCAAACATAAGCAAAAATGACATACTAAGTGGATTTAACTTTGCAGGTGGAACGAAAAACCACCCAAGCATTTGGATGACACTATAACCGATGTATCTCGTAAGTATTCGCCAAAGAACTGCATTTTGCAGACACTGGCCTTGCTACTGCCGTGTATTAGCGGCAGCTTCTGCTGTTTTTCTTATGCAGTCGATGGAGAAGCATTACAAAGTCCAAGGTAAAATGGCTTGAAATGCCTGAATGCAGAATAATTTTACCGACCTTTTTAACTACCGCACTTGTTTGTTTGTGTGATGCTTTTTAAGTTTGTATGATATTCTTAAACAGCCACTTCTGGACTCGAATACACATGCAAAACCAGTCAAGACTGTAAGAAATTAAACAGAAACATCCAGATAGTCAAGAGCGTTCGCCTTATTCAAGTCAGTCTAACGAAAACTGCGTACTGCAAAATCGTTGCAGCCGTTAATACCAATAAACACCTTCATATTTTATATTATTTTATTCATATGTTGTGTTATTGCACCAAGTCCTCGAAGTTATCGACCATACCCTCGTGAAAATGTATAAGTTTTTTTGTAACAATCTTTGAACAGCGGCTGTACCTTTTTGTGCCGTAAAAGTTAGTGTAGAACTTATAATTCCCAACTTAATTTGGAACTCGTTTTTAGAAGTTTCATTGTACTGTATTCAGAACTTTTGCTTTATCATTGTCAGAAACTTTATTGCAACTTTTGTCGCACATTACTCGTAATTTTGGACATACTTCAATTCAACGCACAAAAGATGGCACTGAAATTACAGAAAAAAAACCACAAATAAACATCAAACTATCGTCTGAGTGCTGCACTTGCTGTTTTAAAACACAGAAATTTAGAAAGAAAGAATATACTGCAAAATTCAAAAATTAAACCACAAAAAGCCTGTTTCGGTTCCGAGTCGACTCCAGTCCATCAAATGGGCAGTGAAGTCCGGTAGTTTCCTAAAAAACGGGAAAATATTTACCACAAATTAATAATTTTGGTCTGCACGTACACAAATTCAGTTACTTAACAATTAACTCCACACCAACTTACTCAATTTACTCAACGTCTAAATCCAGTTTGTGGAGCTCACCTTTGCTTAGACTGGCAGTGTGCTTCACAGCTCCATCCAAAGGCCCAGTGTGCGCTCGTGTGCGTTCGCAACGAAGGTGCCAACAAGTAATGCTTAACGCGTACGAAGGGGAAGAGAGATCGTTCCATGGAGTCGTCTCCAAAAATAACCGAAGAACCTGTTACAAAATACCATAAAATTAGCTTGACTGCCTTTAAGACTGCCAAGTAGCACAGTCAATTTTTAAAACTAGAACGTGTAAAGGGATTTTCATAAGGATGTGAGCAAATCAAAGAGAGTCGACTCCGTCCAGCGTAAAATAAAGATGAAAAATTTAAATCGCTCTTTTTTAAAACTTTCCAAATTTTCAGTTTTTCTACGCTTACTAGAACGAAGTCGACCCCAAAATCGTATGGCTGCGTTCCATATAACGTTTTATTACCAGTCATCATACCTGTAACAGAATGATTGGGAATCTACTATCAAGGCGGGTTCATCCAACAACCCAGCTGCAGGCTCCTCATCCAGCACAGACACTCTCAACGGCGATTCAGCTCGTAGACCCGTGAAGAAGCAGTCTTAACCTGATACTGCTTTCTGACTCAATGTTTCAAAATTCAGAAAGCTACAAATTACGTCTGGTTTCAGACCTTATCATTTTCTACTCAACCCTTAAAATCAAACCGAAGTGCAGTTAAAACTAGAAAGTGAAACAAACTGATTCCTACAAGTCACAAGTGTGTTGAATTTCAACGGCTCGACTGCGTTATTAGCGAGCTGAGCTATGTTTACGAGCTCGAGCGTGCGCTCTTATTGCGGCCGCCAACTCGTGGGGTAACATGTGTACCTTTCACATAGCTGCTTTGTGTACTGCGGCTACTGCCACAAAAATGTATTGCTATTTTTGTAATATTTTGTTGTTATAAAATTTTATTGCAGTACGACGTCTTATTTATTTTAGTTGCTAGTAATTAAAAGTCACTTTGGTTAATTTTGTTTTACGATGCCACCGAATTACTTAATTCAATGTTTATTATCTGTATGAACCACAGAAATACAAAATGAAGTGGAATATGTATTGTATACATACATGTGCAATTACTAATAAAAAAATTAATCATGTTTTAATGTTTTAAAACTACATAGCATGAAATGTTTTTGTGCATTTGCGCTGTATAAAGTAGCAATGCACTATGCTGTTACGCACTAATATGCAGTGATGCAACTTACGTCAATTGGTGGCTGCTTATTACTGCTTAAGATTACAGAAAATAAATTACAAACCTTGCGTGACTGTGCGTCAGTGCTGTAATACGAGTAAGTAACTTTTAACCAACTTGAAGTATTCCGTAAGTTATATGAAAGGTCCAAGTTATAATCGGCTGTCATGAAAACTTTTTTGTAAGTTTAGCGTAACTTTACAAGTACTTCTTTTGGTAACTGGATGTTTTTAGTAACTTTTATTTTCACGAGGGATAAGAGCAGTCTGTGCGGGCCCACTAACTTCAACATCGTGCACCGAGTGGACCTAATCTATTTCAATTTGCAGTACCTACTGTAGGGTTCTAAAAACCATGGTAAAATGATGTAATTCTCTATATGACGGTGAATGCTCGAAAACGTGGATCGCGCACGTGCATATTTAATGATTCGGAGTGGCTGTTTTGCCGCAGTATTTGCGATAAATTAGCCAGTTATTTACATATTTTGTCGCCTATTGTTTCTACCGCAGAAAAATAGCGTTAGCCGGAATCATTATGATTCCAAGGTAAAATAGATATCAGACAATAATAACGCTTGCAGAATGCAGACAGAGTATGCGCCTATGCGGTAAGGCAAGTTGTAAAAGGTGGCAGTGGCACTTGCCAGTGGCAGGTGCCACTGGCACTGGCGACGTAGTGGCAAGCGGTAAAACATGGCAGCTGGGAACTGGCAAATGCCAAGACATCATGTTTTACAATGTACGAGTAGTATTAAGCAGTAAAGATGAATATGAAACTGCATCCATCCCGTTTTTCTGCTATCCCATGATAATCAGGTCGTTGTAGATTACGATTGATCTTATGAGATCATGCGTATGCACCCAGTATAATGGCGTTGAAGAGAAGAACGGTATTTTAAGTATTCTAATGGTTGCGGTCTTACAGGCTCTTTCACTGCATTAAAACATGATATCTTTGCAGTTGCCAGTTGCTGCGTTTTACCGCTTGTCAGTAAGCTACCAGTACCGGTGGCAGGTGCCACTGCCACCTTTTACACCCTGCCCGCAGAGCGTCTCCATTAATACCAAAGGAGCCATAAAAACCCGGCCCACACATGGGTCCAATAGTG